AAATCCCATAACCCGTTTTTTTTGAAAGAGTGGTTTAATTCCATAAACTGTTTCATTTGTAAAAGTATTCTTAGTTATATATGTTCTATGGTAAAAACCTTAGTATTAATTTGGAAAATATTATATTATCCATAATACTGCCTTGTGGTTTTAAATGTTCAAAAACGGAAGTACAAGTATATTTACCATACTTGATTTCATGATATGTAGCTTTTATTGTAAGTAAAAACTACAGAAGGTATATTTGGTCAGGATGTAATTATCTTTTCTTACTGTTTTAAGAGAAGTACATTACTTTAGTAATTCACTCATTGTTTTATCCATGTGAGTTCTATTAACCATACTAATATGACTGATATGCCTCACTACAAGAAAATAGCCCTTTAATGACGCGCAAACAATGACACTCGCTGATAGACAACGCGCATTTGCAAGTGCCCTAAAAGATAATGTCAGTTTTGCAAAATTTGAAAGATAGAGGGCACGCATTTGTGCGCGCCCTAAAATTAGTGTCAGAAAAGAAAAATAAGAAATGCGGAGGGCGCCTTTCATAAAATGTGCGTCATTTAAAGGTGTCGCTTTATAATTTTTAAGTGAAACACGCGTTTTAGGCGGGAAATGAAATCGATGAAAATTACCCCCCCTATTGAACCCTAAAAATTAATCCCCCCGCCTCTTCTACTTAGCAAGAAAAAGCCCTAGGTCCCTCACCTTCATCTTCAGTATCATCAAACATCTCGTTCATCCTCTGCATTATTTCCATCGTTCTTCCCTCTCCTCACTGATCAATACCCAAAAAACCCTAATATCATAACCACTCGTCTTTTCTCGCACAACAAAATCCCAAAACATCACCAAATACTAAATTCCACAAAATCGTTGTGACCATTTTAGCTAGGGTTTTTTTTCAAAAACGAAAACAATCTCGCATCTCTCTTAGCTCTGAAACAATGGATGATTCACCTTGCTTCACCTTTAGTCACTTCTCCTCCAGCGACGTCAGGCCTTCCTCATTACAAATCGACCAACGATAAGCTAATACTTATAACTGAATGGTTTCACTCTCAATTGGGTGTGCGACTCCTCCATCGCACTGATGACTACGAATGTGACTCTTCCACTACACCTGTGATTGCGTCCCGTCTCACCTCCCTGACCGCTACCTTAATAGGTTTATCTATTCAATTAGATTTTTCTTTTCAGTTAGAAATCGATTTCGTCCCTCCCCAGCTCTTCATCTCTTCACTAAAATCTCTCTTCATCTATCCACTAAAATCTTCACGGTTTCTTTAATTTCACTCCAAGGTTATTTGATAGCTTTTGTATGGTTTATTCCCTATACTGAATCGCTAGTCAAAACCATTGTGGTGGTTGTGGCGAAATCAAAATGCGGGATTGAACCATTGTAGCAGAGCGATCTTGAAACTTTTGATTAATACTTCTCAAGTCGTCTCCAAGGTAATGTGAACCTCTTGATACTTCTCATGTTGACTCTTTTTTTAGTATAGCTATCGTCTTTTAAAATTAGGGCTTCTGTTTGAATCATTTCATTGAACGACAGGTGAATCAGACCATCTTCTCAATTTATTTGACATTGAAGAACAGTGCGTTGAATTTCTTTGTCGTGTCCAATTTATCTCGACCAGATCTCAAGCAGGTTTCAATCTTCATCTCTATTGATGCTCTAACTTTTTTCCTTCAATGGAACTGTGGATTTTTATAAACACTAGCTTCTACATAAACCCCTCTTCTAACCGAGCTTGGAAAGACCACATGACTTTCCACATTTAAGAGTTCTTCCTGAAGATGTTAATTATTATTATTAAATATTACTCTCTTCATAATCAAATCATGCAAGAAAATGAAATTCCTTTTATTAATTTTTTTTTCTAATAACAGGGTGTTGCAATGCTTGATATTTCTAATTATGGATGAAGAGTTGATCATCATAGAGATATGCGTATGGATATTGATCATATGTCTTATGAGTATACAAAGATTGGCTTCTTTTTTAGTCAAATTACGAAATTGACCTTTTGTGTATATGCAGGAGCTTCTTGCATTAGGTGAGCAGATTGGGAATGCTGGATCAGGGTTATCAGAGGATTTTATTTCAGGTTATTTGTAAACAAGGGTATTTATGTCTTCTAAGTTGGAAGTTGTTTCATCTGCTGATCAAGAACTTAGTTTCTGCACAATTTGTCAGGTAAGGGCAAATTCGTAAAAAGTTAGGGAAAGAAAGTCTCATTTCTTGATTTTCATGCATGTGGTTTGCTTTCAACAATGGGACGCCTGAAAGAGAGTCAAGTGTAATTTTCATGCAGGTGGTTTGCTTTTCAACATGATGATACGTGTAGCCGCAGAAAATCAACAAGGTGGTGTTGCTGCTATAGACCATGGGGAAATGCCAAATAATTTTAGTAAATTTATATCCTGTTTATGATGGTATTTATTTTTTATGCGTAGCGTAGTAAATAAATATATTTGTTTTTTGATATGAATATTAGCATGTGGGAATAAAAGCTTGTACAATGACAGGGTTGAGTCTTTTGCAGCAGCTCTATGGAAATCTATTATAACTTGAAGTTGATTCAATTATTCCACTGTTTATGCAGCTTTCTTCAAACAGTTTGGCGAAATCCTGAGAATTAGGATAGCAACGAAAATTAGGATAGCTTTCTTCAAACAACTTTTTTAAAACATAGTCCAATTCACTCACCTGTTAACTTAAGTTTTTGTCAAATCTAATGAGGAGACTTGAACTTACTATCTATGAAAAATATGTACAGGTTGCAAACATTGTTGCTGAAACAATGCATAATTACCTTTTGTATGAGTATTTGTTGCAATTATAGCTCATCCCTCCAAAACGTGTTCATCCTAAATTGTATGTAGACATTTCAATATAATATTCCAGTCAAAGTTGTTGACTTGTACTTATGAACTTGTGTTTATGATTTCACCTGTTAACTAAAGTTTTTGTCAATTCTAATGAGGATAAATTTGTTGCTTTATTACACTATTACTGCTTATTTGATCATGGAAGTAGCAGGAACTTGCTAGTAATGATGAAGTCTTTTAGGTTTTTGGTTGTGATTCCACCTGAAAATGTAACATACTGGAAAGATTCCACGTGAATGAACCCAAATCTTATGCCAGCTGTCTTGCAATGCTTAATGGCCATTGTTCATCGTGCTTTTGAGACTGCATTATCATGGCTGGTGATTCTTTTTCTTATGAATTCCTTTATATTATGCATTTTTATTTTTATGTGTGGAATGTTAGGTGAATCTTGTAATGGATGCAGGAGGCTCAAATATGCGAGACAGGAGATGCTGCTGAGGTCAGAGAGTCAACTCTGGTTGTCCATGCTTGTTTTCTCATAATGAGTTTGCCTGTCAAAGAAGAACACATTCGGGATGTATCTGTTAATCTGTTGTCTCAATTGAGAGAGAGATTTCCACAGGTAAACTGTTGACCTGTATTACAAATTTATGAGCTTTTATATGCTATCTCCTGTAAAAAATAAATTACATTACCTATAATGGTAAAAAGAGTAAATGATTTGCCCTTTACTTTAAGTAACATTCTATTGGGTGCAGATTCTGTGGAAATCATCTTGTTTGGATTCTCTTTTGTTCTCTGTGAATGGTGATCCACCTTCATCTCTCGTGAATGATCCTGCTTCAGTAGCTTCTGTTCGCTCTTTGTACCAAAGCGTTGTCAAGGAGTGGATTGTTGATTCGCTATCCTATGCTCCATGCACCACCCAAGGTCTTCTTCAGGTTTGTGACGTTAATGACCATATTACCCTTATATTCTAGACTGAACAAGCCTTTTAAATGAGACTTAATGACCATATTACCCTTGTATTCCAAAAAAACAAATTTCACAATATTCATCAATTTTAAATTTAACTCGTTAAGTCATTCTGTCCAGTTTAAGTAAAAAAAGAAACAAGCCTGTAGTCTCAAAAGGTTCACTTTGTTGTAGTTTATTAAGTCTAACAAACTGACTGTGTCCAAACATAAACATTTCAGGAGCAACTTTGTAAAGCAAACACATGGCAAAAAGCACAGCCCACTACAGACGTTGTCTCTCTTTTATCTGAAATAAAAATAGGAACAGGGAAAACGGATTGTTGGAAGGGTAAAAAAACTGCCAACATTCCTGCAGTAATGGCATCTGCAGCTGCTGCATCGGGTGGAAATTTGAAGTCAACAGAGGCGTTTAATAATGAGGTTCTTAGCACTGCGTTGAATGAACATTGCAAATTCTAGATTGACGATGAACAATGGCCATTAAGCATTGCAAATTCTCAAATTTGATATTTTTGAAATCTCCAAGAACTTGATCTTTTCTGCTCACCAATTTTACTATTTAAAAAAAATTATTGCAGCCTGTTCACTTTGGATTTGTTGTTTCAAAGTATCTTCACGAATCTCTTAATTTGGGAGGAATCTCATGTATAAAATGCATAAGAGAAACCGGAACACAAGCCCTAAAACTAATACAGGTAATCAATTATCTATTTCAATATTTTTCTAATCATTGTTGATTGATTCCTTTTTGTAATAAATCATATTTGTTGATGCAGAGCTACCCAACCAAAATTCCCTTGGTAATCGAATAAATTGTGGTTGGTAATGAAGTTTTTGCATACCCTTGTCAAGTGCTTGGATAGTAGTGACTGGACCCATATGGAAGGTGCCTCAGATACTTAATTTTTGTTTTTATTTGAACATTTGTTCTTTTTTACTGTTTCTTGATCTTATGCGGTGCTTTTATTTGTATAGTTATTTCAATCTCCACATGCCATGCATAATGAAGATGCCATGGAAGAATATATGTTCTTTGAACATTTGTTCTTTTTTACTAGGATGTGTTGACCAAGAAAGAAGCTAGGTATTTCAACAACGACAAAGAGTTAATGAAGTTGGTGGGCAACACTGGTGCAGGGCCTAATAATGTTTCTTCTGCATAACAAAAGAAGAACAAAGAAAGATCTGATGATATGCTCATGGAGATGAAGATCGGTTCTGCTAAAAAAAAGGTACGTTGAATTACTGATCATTGATTGATATTGGGGTTTGTTGGTCAAAGGAAGGTTTTTCTTTGGGCATTTTATTCTAGATAGATGTTAGTACAGGGGTTTATGAATAAGGTTTCTTTGGTTTGGCCTTCTAGAGTCAGAACTATATATTGTATTTACTTATTATAATATAAAAAAAATCTAGGTCCCAATGCTTTGCTGATTACCATGGATATGGTGGTTTAATTTAAAAGAATTTGAAAATGACCATTTTACCCTTATATCTATTTGGGAGGTAGCTAACCTTTTGGACGCACAAAATACTTCGCATTTATACTTTGGGTCTTAAACTTATCATTTCTTCTTTGTAAACGTGTTTATGAGGGATACTCATTTTCCAGTTTTGGGTGGGTTAATTTCTCATTTGTAGCTTCATTTAAAATTTTAATCACTCTGTGCTGTGTTATCATGTATGGATTTGTATTTATTTTGGGAATGCACTTGTAGAGACCATTGAGCTTACTTGGACAAATTTAGGGGTACCTTTAGATGGCATATCTGCTTTAACTTTGGTATTACCTCTCTCTCTCTCTCTATCTGCCTCTTTCTAGCTCTATACACTTTTAGAAATTCCACATGCTTGTGCTTATTGCTACTTCCGTAACAAAGAACATTTGGATTTCTTTATTTTTACCAAAAATGCCACAGAAATAGCATAACACTTCCATTTCCTTTTTATAGTCTAATGACCTTATTTGAGCTACTTTTTTCTTTTCTCACACAATTTCCTTTTATTCCTTTCTGGCAGTTGTTTTGCGCATGATAAGCTTTCAGTATGACTACTATTCCTCAGATCATAATCCTTATGTCTCTCTTCATTATTGGATATGGGGTGAGACTTATTTTCACAACCTGCTCACTTATTCATACATAAATTCACTGTCTTATGTTGCCTGCATCATTTACCACATATAGGTCCTAAACTTCATGTGGCTCAAAATTTTCCTCATATGGCGTTACTTCCGATTTTGGGAACTGGTAAGTAAATGTAAATCCCCATTTTTTTAAAATACAATATAGTAAAGTAATTACATTACACACGACTATAACTTGCAAATCTTTTGGAAAAAATGGCTTGCTTCCTTGAACAAATGGCTTGTCAGGTAAAGGAAAAAACTAGAGAAGTGAGTTGAAGAGATGCTGGAGCCCTTAGAGAAGCTAAGGACAAACTAGAGAAGTGAGTTGAAGAGCTGACATGGAGATTAGACTTTGAAAAGCATTTGAGGGTATATTATTTTTTATATTTCTTGTATCTAATTAGTTTGTAAATTTTTGTAACAACTTTTTATTAATTTGTTTTATCTTTCCATGGAACGATTATTTGTATGATATTAAATTTTATGTAATAGATTGTATTTTTTGTATATGATATTTTATTTTCTATTATGAGATATTAAACACAAATTTAATTTGAAAATTAGTAAATCTATAAATAATAATTTTTTTAACATTTAAAATTATGATACGCAAAAATGTGTGTCATCTTCATTTATGACATGGCCTTTCTTGACAGGGTCTTTCTTGATATGCAATGCGTGTCATTAACACGCGCGTCGTAAGGTTATGACACGCGAATGCGTGTCGTCTTCCTTTATGACAGGGCCTTCCTTGATACGCATTGCGTGTCGTAAACGCGCGTCGTAATTGCGTGTCGTAAATGAGCGTCGTAAATGCGCGTCGTCTCTCTTTATGACATGGCCTTCCTTGACACGCATTTGCGCGTCGTCTGAGCGTTTTACGACGCGCAATGAGCGTCGTAAAAGGCCTTTTTTCTAGTAGTGCCTGCAACGACGTTCTTCAAGTGTCGAAATGGAATGATATTTAACACCCTAGGCCTGCCGGCCAAACTGTAGCGAACAGTAGAGGTGCGTGATTGTCAGTCCCATATAGATCTATACACAAATTCACGCTCTCCCTACAAGAGATTTTGGTTAATAGGTCAGGACTTAAAGTCGTACTTAGATAAGTACACCGTGAAGGGTCTCACAAATTTATTGTTTCAACGAGATTTACGATGTATTGTTACCCCGTGATTGCTAACCCTGGTACTTTGTATCGTACCTTTGTTAATGCAAACCCGGTATGATGTATTGTTACCCCGTGATTGCTAACCCTAGTACTTTGTATCGTACCTTTGTTAATGCAAACCCGGTATGATGTATTGTTACCCCGTGATTGCTAACCCTAGTACTTTGTATCGTACCTTTGTTAATGCAAACCCGGTATGATGTATTGTTACCCCGTGATTGCTAATCCTGGTACTTTGTATCGTACCTTTGTTAATGCAAACCCGGTATGATGTATCTTTACTTTTTTTAATATGTTATCCGTATATTAAAGGCATTATACCTATCCTGGTATAGTTAAATAAGTTTTGGTACTTTCCTTGGAATGTGAATCATACTTGTATATTTAGTTTTGAATCATAAATTATACCTATTATAATTTATATGTTCTATCTGGTTAACATGATTTCTCATGGATGAACACCTTTGCTCAGCCTGATACATAGGCAATGATACCAAAATGAGTGACATTTGTATAATATATATAATTAAGAAGGAAACGACCTTCGGACAAATAAAACAACCTTAACCCCACATCCAAACAAGGAAAAAGGAAATAAGATAGTTCATTAGTCCTAAGTCCTTCAAATCTTATTTATATATTTATACATAAGATGGGTTGGAGGCTAGATCTATGTTTTCGATCAATTGCATGGCCTGGAGTGCTTCTGAATGGATTCAGAACGGTGGTACTCGGCGAGTCACATGGGTCGACTCGACGAGTTGCTTGAAGATGGCCTGGAACTCGACGAGTTGGAAGAACAACTCGGCGAGTAGGTTGAAGATAGCCTTGGACTCGACGAGTCTTGTCGAAGAGTCCCAATATTCTCTGGTTGAGCCGAGAATCGGTGAGTCGAGGGATGACTCGGTGAGTCGAGTGCGAGTGGACTCAGAGTTGTTGGACTCGGCGAGTCTCGGGGTGACTCGGCGAGTTAGGTCGCAGATTGAATGAAGTTCTGATTATGGGAACTCGACGAGTCACAGGGTTGACTCGGCGAGTAGGGTCAGTCAGGGGTTGACTTAGACTGAGGACTTTGATTTCGACCAAGGGTTGGCCGTTGACTTTTAGGGTTTGGTCAGCGATGTGGCCTTTGGGCCAAGAGAGAGGTAAAATAGTCTTTTAACCATAAGAGGGTGTTATGAGAGGATTTATTCTAGTCTCGAGAGTTATATTCATGAGAGTATTTGCCTTACGTGTTAGGCGGTGGCGAGTTCGAGATTCAAGTGTGGGGATATCTGCTTCCTGCTTGCCAGGTGAGTCTTCTCACTATACTTTACCTTGAGTAGGTAACCAGAGTTATGTGATTAGAGTATTTGTATGCTATATGTACGTGATGTGTTGTACTGCATTATTTCTATGTGATTTATGTGTGCATGTTTATAGAGTTGGAACCGGAAGGTTCCCAGAGTTAGAACCTGAGGGTTCACAGAGTTTGGGTGCACGGACCCATAGAGTTATAGCCTCGAGTGGCTAATATGTGTTATGTGTGGTATTTTGGGGAACTCACTAAGCTTCGTGCTTACAGTGTTTTGTTTGATGTTTTTCAGGTTTCTTTCAGTATCACGGGACGGCACCGGCTTGATTGTACACACCAGAGAAAGAGTCATATTTTGGAGGATCCTGGTTTTCTATGCAAGTGAAAATGGAGTTATGTTTTGTAAATCGACTATGAATAAGATTTTAAACAAGTGTTTCTAAGAGTAAAATGATTATTTTAAATGAAAATTTGTCTTGAAATTTACGGTGTTACAAGTTGGTATCAGAGTCTTGGTTTGAGGGATTCGGATGCGCCTTCGGGTAAATCTGGACTCAAACTGAGGAAGTAAGAAAAGTTTTAAGGAAATAATTTTCTAAAAATGAATAAGGGTTCAAAGAGGAAGCAAGAAAGAGCAGTGTGTACAATCAGCCAGAGCCCGAACGGTGATTTCCCAAATACCCTTATTTTGTGTTATGAGATATTTATGATGCACTTTATGAGATATTATTGCATGCTAGAGACAGGCTAGGTATTTCATATGTTAGGACTAGAGTGGCCTGATTTGTGATGCCTTAGCCTAGGACTCGTTGTTATATGTGTTATGCTTTTGAGTATGTGATGAGTGAGAGTATCCAGTTAGAACCCATGAGGGGTAGAGTTACAGAGTTTGGTGGTACTTTCGAGGATGAGCCGAGAAGGTGGAGTTATCACAGAGAGGGAGTCCTATGTATTCTTCGATGCTCGAATGCTGCTTGCTTTGTGCTGTGGAACTCTCGATGATGGGAGTCAGCTACCAAGTGAATATGACGATATTCAGGAGGTAGATGGCTGGCATCATTAGGAGCTCTTCAGCAGCTGATAGCAAAGAAGGGGAGGACAATGGAAGAGCCTAGGGAGTAACCCTAGCCAGATGAGTGCGCTTGCAGAGTAGAGAATTTCGCTGGGGAGCGAGCACGCGCGATGGGATTAGTGAAAGGGCAGGTCGAGCAGCTACTTAGAAGCTCTGGGATGGTCCGTGTGGAAAGTATGGGTAGATGTGGCAGGTAGTATGGGCCCGTACTACTGAAAGCAGAGGACCCATACTTGATACAGGGAGTATTCTGAAGGTTCTAAGGAGCGGATTGAGGAGTGATGTTATGGTTCGGGTACCATACATCAGAGCAGATTGAGGAAGTGATGTTATGGTTCGAGTACCATACATCAGAGCAGATTGAGGAGTGATGTTATGGTTCGGGTACCATACATCAGAGCAGATTGAGGAAGTGATGTTATGGTTCGAGTACCATACATCAGAGTAGATTGAGGAGTGATGTTATGGTTCGGGTACCATACATCAGAGCAGATTGAGGAGTGATGTTATGGTTCGAGTACCATACATCGGAGCGGATTGAGGAGTGATGTTATGGTCCGGGTACCATACATCGGAGCGGATTGGGGAGTGATGTTATGGTTAGGGTACCATACACCGGGGCATATTGAGAAGAGATGTCATGGAATGAGTACCATGGGTCGTAGTGAAGGATGTTTGTGGTTCTCTGGTTATTCGGTCATGAGTAAGTTCGATGAGGCGTCCCTTGAGAGGGAGATCGAGAGCCCCTCAGAGTATTTTAGTAAGGAGTCAGTGAGAAGGGAGAATTTCGATCTGAGTTGGGCAATCAGTCGATAAAGGAGATGTCACCTCCTATGATCGGGAGGTACTGATTATGTACATGATGTTTTAGTTTTGGGTTTAGGGGTAAACCCTGCAGGTCGTCATTGACGATGATTTCCCACCAGAGTATCAGGTAGCATGTGTGCCGCGAGGCAGTGATCTATCATGAGCAGATAGTCAGTTGGGACTAAGATAGTCGAGGGCCACGCTATACCTAATTGAGTTTAGTCGGGTGTACGGTAGTGGTATCAGCGGGGAGTTCAGTCGAGTTCAGCGGTGCCGAGAGTTTTCTATCCATGGGGTGTTGAATTTGGGAGTGGGTTCCTGTTCTTGGGATGATCCCGGTGTTGGAGCGTTGGTTAATGAGTTGAGGTGAGGGGTATGATGGTTTTATGGTTCAGTCTATGAGCCAGGGATGTTATCGAGCAGTTGAGTTGTTTGGTACTAAATTGGTACGAGATTTGGAACGGCTAGAGGCAGACGTGACGAGAAGTTCTTGAGGAGTTCACCAGAGGTTCAGAGTATATGAGGTCGATTCATTTCCTTAAGGGGGGATTATCGGGCGTTGTGTAGCACTTTCCGGGGGCAGGTGCGATTTTGCTGGAGAATATAGTTATGGGTTAGTTGCGTGCTATTTGGTGATGGTTCGAACCCTAAGTGGGGGAGAACCGGGTGCCGTATGTAAGAAAGCAGAGATTTGTCAAGAGCAGTATAAGTGGAGTATATAGATATGCGGTAAGAAATCATGAGACCAGAGATGTCGGTGATCGAGGAAAGGGGTCAGAGTGAGT